AGCTGTCGTCTCAGTTTGTCGGTTGGTAGACTGACATCCCTCGGCAACAGCTGGCGGGAGCACCATCTTGCAGGCTCGTCGTTCGCACCCGGTGTAATCAACTGAGACAAATAGGGTCTATCTCAGTCGTGATGACAGTATTCAGATACAGGGGTCTATCTCAGTCATGACAGTATTCAGATACAGGGGTCTATCTCAGTCATGACAGTATTCAGATAAACGTCATGGGTCTTTACCTATGAACATCAAAGCCTCACATCTAAAAAATTTGAGACTTTATTTCAATTTATCTTGAACAACCACCAGTTAACATAATCAACACATTTTTTGTCATGAACTCTCCGATACATACGCATGGGTGGCCCAAGACTTTTGTTGATTCTGCTGGCTCATCATGACAGACCTCTCCTGCTGCTGCTGCATCTGGTGCTGTTTCTGTAAGAAAGCCAAAAACAAAACTGAAGATTATTTTCATATTGCAAGATAATCGAACACAGCATGAACACACTTGTATTTCTTTCCTTCATTTTGGAGTGAAGATCACGAGAACAAACTTTTATCTCCAAAAGGACCAAATGCAATGGGTAGAGAGCCCTAATAACTGTTCTAACAATTTGAGTTTAGAACACCCTGATAGAGAATTGGAACCACTATCATCTGTAACTAAATACTTCAGACAGTTTTTAAAAAAGCATTTTCTAAATAATTTTTTAAAAGAACTCCAACTGAATGAAGTCTCAACTATATACGATGCATCAAAACACCCAAACCACAGAACTATAGTAAGAATAATTCTAGCCAGAACTCGAGACCAGTAACGCTATGTGGTAACTAAATCACTTCACTAAGGTTATTACTTCATGCTCAGTTGTAAATAGGCAGAATAAACACTTTTTTCAAATTTGTTAATTAGCAGAACAAACCCATTCACACACAACACACCTCCTTCTCCCTCTCCTGCTCCCTTTTGGCCTCCTCAGCTTGAATTTCCATGAGTGAGCGAGACTGGACTGGATTGGCCTGAGCGGACTGATGGGCGGCCCAGTTGCTGGCAGCTGGTAACTGGATGCAGGAAACAAAAACAGAGTTGTAGAGCCATATTTTATTATCAATCTGCACAACGATGGCCACATTTCTTTGGGCGTTGATCAGAACAATTTTTTAAAAGTAGCAGAAGCAGATCACAAAAAAAAAATTCATAAATTTATTTTTTTTAAACTGAAATCAACAGCCACCAACTTTGAACACAAATGACACTAGATTTTGTTCCTCACAACAGTGCAACATAAGCTGCTAAATCTTTTAACCTACCCCACTTCTCAACCTCACTAGGCCAAAACAGATGAAGCCCCAATACTAGGCAGAAGAAAGGCTCAAACTGGTGGACACAAGAATCAACAAAAAGCTGGAATATCTGCCACAACGACACCGCTGTCCCCACCTGAATATTGGCAAGCTTCTCCCGCTGGGCCTGCTGGAGACGCCGTAAGGACTCTTGTTGTCGAAGAAGTTCTGTCTGCTGTAGAATTTCGGTTAAAAAAAAATATGACGGAATTGTCAGACAAGCAGAGACATAAATCACATAAACATGAATACCACAAATAGAAGTGTTATAGATAAACAGTACACTGAGGTACCTCCACTCCGCTAAAACCACAGCAAATACAGATAAGGAACAGCCACAATAAGATCACCTTCATTCTTAAACATGATTTTTTATCTATTATATATTAGGCAACTTGGAAACACATGTGTCACTTTTCCAATCAATTTACGACAGCTACAGAGTTGAAAGTTGGCAAGTACCTGCAAAAAGATAGATAGGTCCCAATGACGGAGCCTGATTTTTTATTTATTCATTTCCTGCATTTAGACAAATATATTCGACAAAAAGTTCCCGTCCTTCTTTGGCCTTTGTGATTATTCTACAGAGAAACAAAACAAATCTGCGTAGCTCTCCTTCACAATGAAAGTTCATTACCACTCTTTAACGTTCGCCTAAGAAACACGATTCAGTGACGGGGTGAGTAATTTTCGAGACTCACTTGTAGTACGTGGAGACATGATCCTGTGTATGCATCCAAAGAGTTGTTTTTAATGTAGGGCCCAAAGAGAAAAACTTTTTTATTACTGGGTCAGGATTTTTTTTCTAAATATTTTTGTTTGGTTGCTAGCCATGCAAAGTTTTGTGGGCATAGGTAAATTTGTCAATGAGCTAGAATTTTTTTTTACGCTGTCAGAGGAAAGTGAACAAGTTATAGACATTGCCTCTGTGATTTTGAAGACGTCGGTGTGCTCCATTTACAGTGTAGCAGCCCTTCCATGGATTATTATTTTCTTAGTGCTTTTTTGTGATGGCGTAAGGCGAAACCCGTATTTTGTGATTGTGAAGGGCTAGACAGCAATGTAGATCAAGAGAGGAGTTAGTCAAGGCAGACCTAATCTAAAGCAATATAGATCTAGAACCCAGGTGTAACTGTAAAAAGGCTAGACAGCAATGTAGAAGTTAAATGCCTCCATTGCGTAGACCAGTAGGAGCAGTGACCCCAAGGCTTCGACCCCAAGCAAAGCCGGGTACTCAGCTAGTAAATAAGTAATGCAAAAGCTATGGCCTTTCCCTCAAAGGATTTTTGGAAATTCAAGCCTTTCATTTTTTTTTTTTAATTAAAAAATTTTAAGATACCATTTCACTCACTAGGCATGACTTAATTGTAAAAAGAAATCTTCACACTTCCTTAATTCCAGAAACTCTATGAAAAAAAAAACCCTCTTTCCAATACAGTTTTAATTGACCTGAGAGTAAATATGAGATGCAATCATTGATGGTCTGAGTCAGTCCAGGTATATGCACCACCCAAAAACATTCAACAGCAACATCCTAAGCAATGAATGCAGCAAAGAAAAGCGACACATACTTTGTGTATCTGTTTGAGCAAAGAGAAGTACATCGACATAATAAGGGTCTTTCAGTGCGGGGGGGGGCAAGAAAGACAGAAACAAATGAGGACCAGTAAGAAACAGGACGTATCAGCAGCATCCCCTAATCACCCACTCAAAATCTTCACTATTCTCAAAACTTTGGGCACAAAATGACCACACGGTCTACCTGTCTCCTTTGTGCTTCCAAGTGCTCTTTCTCCGCCTCTTCCCTCAGCCTCTCTTTCTCTGCCTCCTCCTTCAGTCTCTCCTGCTCTGCCTCCTCCTGTCGCATCCGTTCCTCTTCCTGTCGCTGCTGTTCCTGTCGTCGCAGCATTTCTTCCTGTATGAGACGCTGCTCTTCCCGTTTCCTGGGTGGAGAGGAACAAACACTACACATAAATGGGTTTGCAACCACAGCTTCGTTCAAGCTCGAAAAAAACAGTTTCCCTCAGAATAAAAAATGAAAGAACCAGGGTGACTGCCAACCCTGCTTCTCAATTTTCCAGGGGGCTCATCCATTTTCCAGGAGCATGTTACATAATAATGAAAGTGCATGCTCCATTTATATATATATACACACACACACACACACACACACACACACACATGCGTGTAGATACATTATATCCAGTCAACAAAATGTCACTGTGGCACTGGGGTCTTGTGTGACTTTGGTATTTCAGTCTGTTCTTAATTATTTATATTTTCCCCTCATCACATTCGTCTATATAAACTATATAAAAATGAATCTGTTTTAAGCCTTAGAAAGGGCCGAGAACCAGAATGTCGACTGTCAAAAACCAGTTTGGGTGTCATCATTCATATAATAAACATGAAAAACAAAAATTATTGTTCAAACTCAAAGTAGAGAAATAACTTGGAAGGCTCAAGTAGACCTATTCAGTGAGAGGTGTAAGAACTGTGGGAGGGCAAGATGTAGTCACACTGAAAATCTGTGTATCTTTCACAGAAAGCTAAAAAATAGATATCCAATACATATAATTTACTATTGCCAATCCAATGAAACGTGAACCCTTTAGTTAAAAACCATGGCTTACAAGGTACATGTTTGAGTGTGATGGATCCAGATTCCACACAAGGCCTGCACCAATGCACGCTTTGCAGAGAGCTCTTATCAAAATTCTACATACTAATATTTGCTTCCCACTTCAGTTTTTGTCCTCTGATGCTGCCTTCAGCCGCTGCCCCCAAAAATCAACAATCCCCCCATTCCGGAGTCCTATACTTTGCAGCGCTCACGACTTTGAATGAACTTTGGTGACCCCAATAATCGCTGGCACTCACAATGTGATGCGAACATACAGGTTCACTGACTGGTTACGATGACCAGCCCAACAAGACCCTTGTATAACTTTCTTTTCTTTTCTTTTTTTTCACAGGTGACAGCACAGGACAAATATTGATTTATTTTCATGGCGACATAGAGTTTGTAAAGTACAACCTACATGTTACAAATGGTGCGTTATAAGACTACTACCAGCAAATTTCTGGGTGGTAACGAAAGCGAAAGTAGATCTTGATTTTCCTGATCGAGCCTCGGTAATACACATACACTTGCCGCCATAGCCGCCTATTTGCATGAAACGTACTCTCAGACCAGGAAAAGCCGAATGAATATCACAATCGCGACCATTATCAGATCTGGTTTTCAAATATTTGAGAACTTTTATTTATTTTCCCGGGTATCTCCCGCAACAATTTTGAGATTTCCTCAAATTCCCGGAGCATTCCAGAGTCTCTGCGATTTTTTTCAAATTCCTGGGGCCCCTGAGATTCCCAGGGCCTGGCAGTCACCCTCAAGAACCAACTTTTCTCTTCACTCCTTGGGACAATTATTCAGTAGTGATGTCAGAAGAAAGAAAGCATTGGAGGGAGAAATGCAGAGGAAGTTCGAAGAGTTATATTAAACAGACATAAAACAAAGAAAATTCATTCTTTAGCAGATTTTGTAAAGATGACATTTGAGCAGGATTTTGTCAAGTTATAAAAATTCAAATAATTTCCCTCTTCAACTACCAAATCCCATTTATTTTTCCCTATAAAAAGCTGTTTTAAAAAGCTCAAAAGAGCTTTCTTCGTCCATTCTCAATATATGCTATTACTTACTTCAGATCCTCCAAGTGCCTCTTGTGCTCTTCAACTTGCTTCTTCTCTTTCTTCTTTTTCTCCTCTTGTTTGCGCAACTCTTTCTCCCTCCTCTTCTCTTCCTCCTGTCTCATCAGCTCTTCCTGCCTCCTCCTTTCCTCTTCCTCTTCTTGCCTTTGTCGCTCCAGCTCCTGCCTCTGTTGCTCCTCCTGCTGTCTGCGCAGACGTTCCTCCTTTTGCTGGCGAAGACGTTCCTCCTCTTGCTGGCGAAGACGTTCCTCCTCCTGTCTCCGTGCTTCTTCTATTTTCTGCAAACAGTAAATTCATACATCTACAGTTGCTGAAATAATCTAAGACAGCATCATCAACACCAGCACAGACCAAACAATTCCTAGTTGTCACAGTGAGCACCCTAGTAGCTATGGGAGTAAAAAGCTCAAACTCTGGAGCACCCCATCTTCCTTCTAACCCAGTTCTACATTCAAGTATTTAAGTAAGTAAGAGTTCAAACTCAAAAGTCGTGTCAAGAAAGTGTCTGTGACACACGGTTTAGAAGGATGGTCACAGGGGTGTGCCCTTGAGCAAAACACGAAACCCTAGCTAAAAAAAACAAGGTGCTGCACAGTGGCGACCAGCAATGACATGTTTGTGAAATTGTTCTGCATTGGTGTAATATTGTGTATTTAAGTATGTATTTCTAATATTGTAGCATCTTTCTAACTGTAACTCAAGTTTCCCCACGGGGATCAATAAAATGTAATTTACTTCATTTTTTTACTACACTCAACTATAACTGGGAAATT